TAAGGTCGCGCATTTCTTACCCGTTTCGATGAAGATGTCTCTGGACAAGTTGGCTGAGATATATACCCGTGGGATCATCCGACTCCACGGAGTGCCCATTACGATCGTATCTGACAGAGATCCCAGTTTCGTCAGTCGATTCTGGCACAGTTTACATGAGGCGATGAGCACGAAGCTAGAGTTCAGTTCAGCCTACCATCCGGAGACGGACGGTCAGTCAGAGCGAACTATTCAGACACTTAGGATATGCTTCACGCTTTGGTTGTTGACAGGGGTGCTAAGTGGGAGTCGTTGTTGCCGTACGCCGAGTTCGCGTATAACAACAACTATCATTCTTGCATTCAGATGGCTCCTTACGAGGCACTTTACGGTCGCAAGTGTCGTTCCCCTCTCTATTGGGACGACGTCGGAGAGCGACGAGTACTCGGTCCTAAGCTGATCGAGGAGACAGCAGATCAGGTCGAGTTGATCCGGCAGAGACTCAAGACAGCTCAGAGTCGACAGAAATCTTCCGCCGATCATCATCGACGAGACATTCAGTTCGAGGTTGGCGAGCAAGCCTTTCTCAGAGTTCGTCCGATTCGCAGAGTCGTTCGATTTGGAAAGAGAGGGAAGATACACCCTCGATTCATCGGTCCGTTCGAGGTTCTCGAGCGAGTAGGCGAGGTCGCGTATTGTTTAGCCCTACTTCCCGAGTTATCAGGCATTCATAATGTATTTCACGCATCTATGTTGCGTAAGTACGTGTGCGACCCCGATCATGTCATTCCTCATACAGATATTCAGGTTCAGCCAGATTTATCATACGAGGAGCGACCGGTAGCTGTACTAGACCGTCAGGTTCGTCGGCTCCGGAAGCGAGATATTCCCCTCGTGCGTATTCAGTGGGATCGCCACGGAGCTACTTGGGAGGAGGAGTCCGATATTCGCGCTCGTTTCCCAGATTTTCAGTTATGATGCACATATTTTATGTTCCATGTACATAGTTCATGTATTATCAGCTATGTTTTGAATTTCCGAGGACAGAAATTTTGTAAGGAGGGAGGATTGTAATATCCCGATATTTTATCAGTCTAAATTATGTTTTAGTTCCGATGTAATAATGTTATCGATTATTATTTTTGGAATTAATTATTTTCAGTCGAGATTACCGAAATTTATTTTTGACGTACCGTTTACGTTCAGAATAATTTTGGTAATTAAGTAGTATGCTTAATTATTTAATTAAGCACTTAATTGTGATTAATTAGCAATTAATCACAATTAAATCAAGCAAAGCCGTGAGGGATTAAAAGATGGCCTAATTTTTGTTCAAAAAGCCGTAAGCATAAGTATATCAATATGGTTCCAAATTGTTATCCCTTTTCCTAAGTATTAAGGAAATTAAATTTCCTTCCAACTTTTTATCCTTCCAAGTGGCCTTAATTAAGGATGCAAGGAGGGATTAGTCACCATAAGTAAGTCCAATTAGCAAACATTTGGAAGCCATGGAGAAGGCCACGCCTCTACATCGTCACTCATTCCCTCATTTCGGCCGTCTATAAAGATGTGGTGTTTTGGAAAATTTTCCACCTTTTTCCTATCATATTCATCAGCTCATATATATATTTTAGTCTTTAAGATCAGCAACAAGTATTCCAAACATATTGCTTTAGTTAGATTGTACCGCACGCACGGCAATACGTTCAGCGTCGCAAGGCAAGCCGCGTACAAGGCACACGCACGCGAGGCATAGTCAAGTTGCGATTCCGACGAGTACTTCAAGAGGTATAGCTATTCTCAGCTTATTTTCATGTCAATAAATTTATTTTAAGTTGAAGTGTTCGAGTCATGTTCAAGAATTCCTAGTATTGTCGTGTTAAAGTTCGAATATGCCTAAATTAAATCGTGATCGAGTAACTGCTTGTTTTACCCGGCAACTCACGAACCATTTATGTTTAAATGATCAGTTTACCTCATTTTATGTTCAGTCATTCGATGATGGTCGAGGAAAAATGTTGTTTTATGTGTTAAATGGCCCAAAGCCGTCGCTAGCGCTCATCGCGCGTGGCCACGGGCGGCACCAAGTCGCGTCCTGTTACTTTCAGTTATGGTCACGTTCTTTCGTGTGATTTATGTCGTGATAGTCTCATAATGATGTTCATGTTAAAATGGTCTGGAGTTGCCGAGGGAAAAGATGATTCGGTTGGGAGACGGCTTATCGCCGTCGGCGGCGCACGGCGCGCGCGCCACCGCCCGTTCAGTTGATCATGCGCAAGGTTATATTTTTAAGTCATTTTGATGACTATGTTCATGTTGAGTCAGGTGATGTTGTTTTACGTTGAAGTTGTCGGAAAGGAGCGCCGGACGGCCGACAAGTGTTGGTTGTACATGCGCTGCCCGCATATCGCGGTAGCAGCGTACCGGCAGGGGTGCGTGGTGCAGGTACTGCGCGGTAGAGCGCCGCGTAAGGCTGGTGCCCGTAGCAGGTAGCCGTTGGCGATGCACGTGTGCACTCCAACTCCCCGTCATGCATGTCAGCGTGCAGTAATGCCGCCAGCGCGCAGCAACACGCATTCAGTGGTCGCACGACAGCGTCCTATATGGTAACCGTCATGTCCGTCCAGCCTAAGTATGCCCGTGAACCTCAGCAGCACGTCGTGGTGCATGGCAGCACCCAGACTGTGCCCAGTCAGGTGGCAGCCGACGCACCTAGCCAGTTCCGCCAGCAGCCGCGGCCGCAGCCTTGGCAGGCCGTGGGCCGAGTCAGCCGCCAGCCGATCGGTCCGAGCAGACCGGCGGTCCGGTCAGACCGGTTCGGACCGATTAATACCGGTTTGACCCAAATAATGTTATTTTAGTCCCGGTTCGCATTTTAAGTGCCCTTTCAGTTAAATTTTCGGGATTATTTCAGTTCAGTAAATTCATGTCCGATCAGTTCATGTCAGTTCAGTTCCGGTTATTCCGGTTAAGTCTAAAATATCATGTCAGGTTCAGTAGAGTATCTTAACGAAATTAATCAGTTAAGTTAACAGTCTGAGCATAGTCATTAGTAATTGTTTATATTATTTTCAGTTTGATCAGGCATCAGCACTACCGTTCAGTTTCATCAGTTCAGGTGGGGACTCAGACTACGTACTACATTGATTATAATTACGGTACCATGTTTGAGGTATGTATTTCATGTGAGGTATCCGCTCGGAATGGTCGCCGGTCCATTCTGGGTTCTAGTGGCCCTAATCTGCCCACTA